CTGTCTTTGTTTTCTAGGAGTTATTATGAAGAGCATTACATTGCTACTATGTTTAGTAGTTGTACAATGTTCTGCTGAATTTACCAATGAATGGGTGGTGGAATTGTACGGTGAAAATGAACGTTTAGCAAGAAGTATTGCGGATAATCATGGTTTTAAATATTTACAAAAGGTATGTGTGTTCTTATAATTAAGTTGACCGTTTTATAATCATAAAAAATTGGTGTGGTCAATTAAAGGGCAGTAGTCGCCGCGCCACTCCGCGCAGAGCATGTTCGAATTTCATGTAAACAATGTATTTTACACGCGTTGTGTATGTCGCTATGAGTCCCATATTGAACAGGACGCGGCGTGACGACTGTCACCCTTTAATGATATTGTTGAACAGTATTTGTTTCCCATTTGTTCTGTCAACAGTTTCTCATTCTCATAGCACATGGGAGTTCCAAGTTTTCTTTGATTGGTCTATTGTGATTGTAATGAAAACATAACCACTCAACATATTTAAATGTGTATAGACATGATTGATTTTGGTGGAAAATTATGCAATTTTCCTAATTTACATACCAATATTTAGGCTATTTTGGTGATATCTTGAGAACCATTTAATATGTTTTAATAAAACTTGGTGCATAGATGTGTTGGGGCAGTTTCCAGATATATTTAGTTTTGGGTGGAAATTTATGCAAATATCTAATTTGCATATCAGCTCGTGAAATTCAAGCTATTTGGGTGCTATTTCAAGAACATATTTCAACAAAACGTGGTATATACATGTATTACAAATTCAGATAATTGCAAATATCGTGTTATGTTATTCTCTCAACACGCTGGAGTTCTTTTAAGGCTCTCTTTGATTCTAATTTTATCGAATATTTTTGTTATTTTTGTAAAAAATTCCACTTTTAGCATTATGTTTTATTGTCTCACTCACTGCCTTTTGGGGTATTTGTCATATACAGCACTAATCTTTTGTACAATAGCCGTTGAGCAACAGGCCATTGGCCTATTTTTTTTATTCTGGCAAATATTGAAAAAAGATATGATGAACTTTTTAAGTGACACATACAGAGACCATAAACGTAAATATATATTATGTCTCTTTGAGTGAATGGAATTTATTTTACCAGAAACAGTGTATACATTGAATAGTAAATTATAAATAAAGAAATACTAAAATTAATAATAGCAGTAATTATAATGATAGTAATATATAGTATATATTGTTGTTTCTGGTGGGGTCACACAAATAGCTTATTCAAGCTAGTCTAGTAGTGATAAGCTAAGATGCACAAGACATAGTTAAAGCATGTCAAATTTGGAGTCTGGAAAGTTTTAGATACATAAAAAACAAGAAAAAAAATCGCATGCACACTGCACTTTCTTAGGTGATCAATTCGATTTTGTCTGTTACAACAGTAATGCTGATCTAGTCACTTGCAGTAACCCTTCCATCCATAAACAACTCCCTCCCCTAACAGAAATAATACTTGCCCTTCAATAGGCTTGAACAAACTATATTAAAAAAAACAATCACGAATTTTATACACCCAATAGTGTTTCAATCTGACACAGTAGTCTTGGTTTAAATTTACCTAGTGATGTGTTTATTCAAAACTGTTTTTTCTTTGTCTGGTTACTGGAGTTGTTAGATACTCTATGTACTTGTATTAATCAGATTCAATTCATATGGTAATAAGATGCAATGCGTCATACCGAGAATTCCATACAATACTGCCATTCCTGTATTGCATTACTACATTGTTTCCTACGCTGTTCACTGTTCCAAATGTTTGATATTGTAAATAATACTGTAAAATAACTAATTTTTACTGGGTTTAAATTTTGCTGATTTACCATTTCAGGCATATTCATTGGGTTTTTATATTCATGGTTTTATTATTTAGATAATTGTTCTATGCTAAATTTTACATATTCACTGGGTTTTAATTTTGCACATTTTCCAGTCAGCGAAATAGGCAAAATTAAAACCCAGTGAATAATTAATCTCTTTACAGTAGTATGATTCTATCATAAAAAAAATAAGTTAAAAATGTTGAGACCATTGATCATAAATCTCATGACCAGACTGGATTAATATGGAAGCAAGTATCTTATGCTAACAGTATTACAGAAAATCTTTTATTAAAACCATTCCATCCAATAAAACAGATATTTTTAAATAATTCAGGGTAAAAAGGAGTACTCTGTGACAGTTAATTTAAAAAAAAAATATTTTTACCTAATGTCACTAGCCAACAATGACACAATATCAACTATAAGAACCAATGGTAAAAACATTATAATATAAACCATTTGCTTGTAAAAATTGGCTAGTGACCTCAATTTTGTTTTATGTCAACATTTTTACATTGGTCAGGAGTACAATTATTGCAAAATGAATAAATTCTCAGTGAATGGACAGTCTCTGCTTTTTTTTTCCTATTCTAACAGCTTTTGACTATGTTAATTTGAGGAAAACTAAAGTGATGTGTACGATTGTGAGCAGGGGTTTTTAAACAAGGAAATATGGGCGCAGCGTCCTCATGGCATGGTCATGCGCCCCTTTACCCTGGGGAGCAGATTCTCTGGCAACCATAAAATTCTAATTGACCAGGGATCGTATGTGGCCACAGTCTTCAACTGTGACCTGTCTGATAGTAATTTTGACAGCAAGGAAGCCAGAGAATGCTCCATTTTAACTTAGAATTATCAAAAACTCCACACCCTGGTAGGAAGAACCCAATCTCCCCGTCTTGGTGAAGCGGCTGAATTGCAGTGCTCTCTTATGCATTTTTTTTTTAGAAAAACCTCTGGTGAGCATAGAATTGTTTTACAAAATGATGCATATACCAGCAAATATGGTCAAATCAGTTAAACCCATCTATGTCTTACCCAAAATTGTTCACTGTTTGTGTTTTATTTTGCAGCTCAGTTATTCTGATAGTTCTTATCATTTTCAACATCTCAAAGAATCCAGAAGATCAAAACGAGGTGCTGAAGATTTGACAGAGCTATTACAGTCACATCCTATGGTAAGTTGCTCATTATGAATCAACAGGTGTTTTCAAGGCAGGACTGCTTTTATATCTTATTCCATTGGTTAAAAAACTTCAAATCAGGACATGTTACTTGTTTTTAGCCAATTGATGACTTTCTTTTATATGGTGTGGCTTTATTGTGTTTGGTAAGATTTTTTTACTTTGATATTTCTGTGTTTTTTTTACTATGGGGTGATGTGTAATACAAATCAGATAAAGGTGTGTTGAATGCTATTCTTTGCATCTGAAAATTGTTGACAATATATGCCAACTGGGACTACCCAAATTCCTAATGCATCTTGAAAGTGTGTAACCATGTGGCCTCTAACAGAACTGAATTTATGATTGAGTAGAAATTATGATGTAATGATGTTTTAAATTTGTACTGTAAATAATATTATTTTTAATAATTATCACTTGCTCACTTGCAGATAAAAAAGGCTACCCAACAAGAGTTGAAGGTACGTGTTAAGCGAGACGATGAGAAAACAAACCAAATGCTGGAAGATCGACTGAGGGAGAAATTGGATTTATTAAAGAAGATAACCCATAAGGTATGAATTTATTTTAAAAAAATAAAGAGTTTTGAAAAACGATTTGCCATCCTAAATCTGTCTATGAAAACTATGAACAGTTTTTTATTTTTCAAAAATGGGTGGAAAATATGACCTTTAACGGCCAGTCAGGGGTGATTTCCAGGCAGTTCGAAAATTTCGGAAAAGTGTTTTTTGAAAAAATATAAACAGTTGAATCTTTTGCTGGAAAAAAATGTTTCAAGTTGATAGTTTGATGCAGAAGGTTTCATTGCTCTTATATTTTTGCACATTTTGATGATTTTTTTTGCAGTGTCTTTGTTGGTTTTGGTCCAGGTGAAATATATCCCATTGGCCTACTGGACTTGATCAATATTTTAAAAATAAATATATATACAAATCATGATTCACATTTTGAAGGATCCAAAAAATTTAATTTGAGTATGTGCTACTGTTATGATTACAACATTTTTTTTATTTTAAAATATTAATTTGATGTTCTTGTGGATGTTTTGCAGAGTAAGAGGAGTGAGTACGGTGCTGGGGAAGTTGATAGAATTTTGAAAGACTGGCTGGCTCAGACATTTAACAAAGATGAGAAAAAAGCTGAGCACCAACCGACAAGAACTAGGGTGGCTCACGTCAACAAGGATATTGAAAATGAATGGAAGAAGCGTGGTGAGAAATCATCTTCTCGGAAAACTCTGATCCCCACTATTGATGTGCTGTCACCGGATTACACTGGAGATGATTATGATATGCCATTTAATGATCCAAAATATCCAAAACAATGGTACCTGGTGAGTCTCAACATTTTTATATTTAATCCAACATAAAACTAATTATTCTAATCATTTGATCATTAAAGAAGGAGGGTCTTCACCTGCGCATGTGCGAGAATCGAGTCCCAAGCGACGATAACAACATGCGCTAAAAACACAAAAACTCGTGGGTAGATGCTTGTTTGTAAACAATGCACGCTATGGCCACCTGACACATGTGCAGGTGACAACTCCCTCGCTTTAATCCTTTAATCATCATGTTCAATTCACTAAAAAGCATATTTCATCTTTGTTTTACCTAGCATAACACTGGACAAGGTGGTGCGGTAGAAGGCATGGATCTGAATGTCATGCCGGCTTGGAAGTTAGGTTATACTGGGAAAGGAATCGTTGCTACCATTGTGGATGATGGTTAGTTTACAAATTATAAATTAATTACAATGAGTTGCTGAATTGTTCTAGTTATGGTCATTGAGTTATCAAAGGATCAATTTACAAAAGTAACCATGCCGACTTTTTTGAAAACACACCAAAATTGTAACTCTATGTTCAATAAACAGTTAAATGAACTTTGAGTTACAGACAACATAAAACACTAAACAAAACAAAAATCTATGTTGTCGTAACTCAAAGTTTTGTTAACTGTTAATTGAATGTTAAGTTACAATTTGGGCATGGTTTCTCAAATTGGCAATGTTTTTTTAAAAATTTGGGCGTGATCAGTTTTGTAACTCAATGTTTTCATAACTTGATGTCCGTAACTCAACGATTTAGCATCTCAATTACAATCAACCAATTATTCAAACTATGTTAGCTGGAAAGTCAAAGTTGAGT